TTGTTACATGCGCTCGAAGATGGTGAGTTCAAAGTAAAAAGAGATTTTCTCAGAGAAAGCTTTGAAATGTTGAAATATTCCGGGATTAAAACACATTTTTCTCCACCTATATACAATCTCGTTTATAAATAAATGTTTTGTCAAATGATAAATAAAATCCAATTCTGCCGTTTGAATACACAGTATGAAGGATTGAATAGATATTTGATGTTCAATAGCCGATACATATAATTTATTTGGCAGAAAAGTTGTTCGTCTGTATCAATTCTTGAAATTGAGCACTACAATAAGTTTTGGATAATAGATTTTAAGCTACAAGTCCTCGGGTTTCGATATCAAATTATATCAGATCTGATGGTGAAATTGCTCTATTTATAGTAATATCAATAAACCATCTGCTTTGAGCTTACGGATTCTTAGAAAAACTTGATTGAAGAAGTTTGACTCGAAAAATCTTACTCAAGTTACTTATTTTTTATTGCTTAGATGGATGGATGAGCTCACAGCCCACTTGGTGTTAAGTGGTTACTGGAGCCCATAGACATCTACAACGTAAGTGCGCCACCGACCTCGAGATATAAGTTCTAAGGTCTCATTATAGTTACAACGGCTACCCTACCCTTCGAACCGAAACGCATTACTACTTCATGGCGGAAATAGGCGGGGTGGTGGTACCTACCTGTGCGGACTCCCAAGAGGTCCTACCACCAGTGATTACGCAAATTATAATTTTGCGGGTTTGATGTTTTATTACACGATGTTATTCCTTCACAGTGTAAAGTTAATCGTGAACATTTGTTAAGTACGTATTTCATTATAAAAATTGGAACACGCCTGCGGGAATCGAACACCGGTGCATCGCTACATACGAATGCACCGGACGTCTTATCCTTTAGGCCACGACGACTTATGTTGAATAGCTGTTAATTTGTGGTCACATATTGTGAAATGTAATAGAAGTGTTCGTATATTAAAGATATTTACAAATCTTATGATGTCGTTAATTGTAAAAAAAACTATAAGTCGTTTGTTCCTTCGAGCAACAAGCGATAATGAAAACATCGATGTATATGGTGTAACAGATTTACCCCTAAAACCCACCCTAGTGAGGGTTACTGGAGTTTATAGATATTGACAATACGAATGCTGGATCCCTTGAATCTTGAGGCTTAAATCTCAATTTTATAGTATAAGGCTTGTCTCATCGAATCCTACTTTATGGCAAAAGTAGTATTCGATGGTAGCCACCCGTGTGGACTACCATTAGTAATTATCGATAGGTGGTAAAAGTACATTAGACTGTCGTGAATACGTGTTACATCCATATTTTCTTAGGCAACACAAATCTACAAATAATCGAGGCCTTTGTGTAACTCAACACTCTTTTTATTACCTAGACGAAGAGCTTCACCTAATTTGAATGCTCATTCTCATACGTTTGCTTTTGCTGAATTTTGAAGCTGTTTATAATTCGTTTTATTTTATTTTATATTATTTATATATATTTTTTTATTGCTTTGATGGGTGAACGAGCTCACAGCCCACCTGATGTTAAGTGGTTACTGGAGCCCATAGACATCTACAACGTAAATGCGCCACCCACCTTGAGATATAAGTTCTAAGTTCTCAGGTATAGTTATAGTTATATATCAGATAGGTATAGTTATATATCATTTATTTATTTATTTTATTTTGCTAATACGTAACAAATTTAGACAATAGGCATCAAATTTGCTGCCTTCGATGATGATTACGCCCACTCTGCTAAGAGCGTAACGACTAAGCAATGCTTTTGGCTACATTAAGAATGATGGTCACGTTTCTAAGATTCGAGGAAATCGACTTAAGAAACTCCTGACGTAATTTAAAACGAGATTTCAACGTAATTACGACGTAGTGTTAAAACTGAGACTATAAGTCCTAAATATGGCGGAATTTACGTGAAGTCTAAGNATGATGATTACGCCCACTCTGCTAAGAGCGTAACGACTAAGCAATGCTTTTGGCTACATTAAGAATGATGGTCACGTTTCTAAGATTCGAGGAAATCGACTTAAGAAACTCCTGACGTAATTTAAAACGAGATTTCAACGTAATTACGACGTAGTGTTAAAACTGAGACTATAAGTCCTAAATATGGCGGAATTTACGTGAAGTCTAAGGACTTTGGTGACCACTTAGCATCAAGTAAGCCGCGAGCTTATCCATTAGTCTCCTCAATAAAAAAATAATCTACTTAGATTACAAAGAAATTAAAACTGATCATAATTTGAGTATTGTACTTTTTGACGAAGCATGTTGCTGATAGCTCTATTTTTGTAATCTGACGAAGCATGTTGCGGATAATAACATGTACTTTTAGGTTAGGAATGTTTTACATTACATGTACTTTTATGTACTTTTAGTTTCTTTTTTTTATAATAGAAATAAATTAAGTGGCTGCCATACTTCAGGATACTGCTATCTATCCTATTATTATAAATATTATAAATAAATCTATACTAATATTATAAAGCTGAAGAGTTTGTTTGTTTGAACGCGCTAATCTCAGGTGCTAATCTCAAAATGGGGGTTTAAATAGCTCCTTAATATTCTATAATTCAAAAATATTTTCACTTTCTACGTAAATGAAGTGGGGGTAAAATTTAGCGCTATGCCAAAGCAATTATTCCACGCGGACGGAGTCGCGGGCAAAAGCTAGTATATGTATAAAAAGACGCAAATATCAAGAAATTTGTAGTAATGTATTCAAATGTTGACGAATTATACCTTAGTCCTCCGTGACTGTAAAATTTTAAGTAATCAAAACGGTCGGAAATTATGTAATGAATGTAATAAACTCGAAATTACACCGTAAAACTGTATTAATTATAAAAATTAAACTCTTCGATCTAGACTAGAATTTCACGGTAGTAATGACACGCTTGGGGAAAGGGGTCCTTAACGCGTTACAGACATGACATGGCTTAAAAATATCTAAATTTATTTGAAGTCACAGAATATTACTTCTCGAAACCAGGTTCCTTCATGTATGACCATATCTTATATATACACAAATAAACTAATTAAGTTGGCTAGTTTTCTAATATTTTTTTATTGCTTAGATGGATGGACGAGCTCACAACCCACCTAGTGTTAAGTGGTTACTGGAGCCCATAGCCATCTACAACGTAAATGCGCCACCCACCTTGAGATATAAGTTTTAAGGTCTCAGTATAGTTACAACGGCTGCCCCGCCCTTCAAACTGAAACGCATTACTGCTTCACGGCAGAAATAGGCAGGGTGGTGGAACCTACCCGTGCGGACTCATAAGAGGTCCTACCACCAGTAAAAAATATTTTCTAGATGCCTAGATAGTGTAGTCTCTAAGACGTGAAGACTAAGTTTTTGCCAACGGCTTTTAATAGGCTAACGGAGTTCATATTTCAACGTCTTCACTTAGCTTGAGATCTGATGCAATATCTTGGAGCTAACAGCAGTTTCATATTCCATAGTTGAAGGCATGACTGATTTACACAGAAATGGGTAGGTCGGTGGTATCTGTTCCGCCGAAACCACACTACGCCCTACGGCAGAAGTCAAAATCGCGGAATGCTGGTCATTGCTAACACCGGCCTTAGCAAGAGCAGCGCTTCGTAGAATCTACCACGGATCGGAATCGCTATTCAGTGAGAACAGACGAGAAACTAAGTTGTGCCATAAGATGCTATGTTGCAATGAAATGCCGTGAAAATTTAGTTTGCAGAACGAATAGCGCGTCGTCAAAATGCTGTCTAAGAACATGCTGTGGGCCAACGCAGTGTTTCTAGGTTGCAGATATAAATTCTGTTATGATGGAAGATGGTAAAAAGGAAATCAATATATCATCAATGTATAGTTGCGCTATAGAATTGGGACTTAGAGCTCGTGTCTCAAAGCGGGCGAAGGTATTGCCGTTGTTGACGTATATGGTTACCACTTTTACTGGTGGTAGGACCTCTTGTGAATCCGCGTGGGTAGGTACCACCGCTCTGCCTATTTCTGCCGTGAAGCAGTAATGCGTTTCGGTTTGAAGGGTGGGGCAGCCGTTGTAACTATACTTGAGACCTTAGAACTTATATCTCAAGGTGGGCGGCGCATATACGTTGTAGATGTCTATGGGCTCCAGTAACCACTTCCAACCAGGTGGGCTGTGAGCTCGTCCACCCATTTAAGCAATAAAAAAAATATGAGCTCCNGCTCTGCCTATTTCTGCCGTGAAGCAGTAATGCGTTTCGGTTTGAAGGGTGGGGCAGCCGTTGTAACTATACTTGAGACCTTAGAACTTATATCTCAAGGTGGGCGGCGCATATACGTTGTAGATGTCTATGGGCTCCAGTAACCACTTCCAACCAGGTGGGCTGTGAGCTCGTCCACCCATTTAAGCAATAAAAAAAATATGAGCTCCGGTGACCACTTAAAACCTGGGAGCAATGAGTCCGTTCATCTATCTAAGCAAGAAAAAATCATCTCAATTAAACATTTTGAGGACAAATTCCTCATTAGCAGCACTAAAAATAATAGGTGTTTTAAAAAATTCAATACTAAATGCTTTATCCGTACAAAGTCTGAAATTTGCGATAATTTTGGAGAAACTCTTAGAATAAATGCTTAAACTCACGCATGATTCATGGAGGGTACGGATTTATTTTTTCATTAGTCTAATGTCCACAGTCCAACACTCTTTTGAGACAGAAAACATTGCCAATAAATTAATAGGGACGCCAAAAAAGCAGCCCTGAATTACGTAAAGGTTCTTAAAATTATTCACTGATTATTAATGTCGTACTAATATTAAGAAATCCTTTACCACGTGTTCTTCGAGTCGAAAAATTTGGAAATTCTGCTTAATTACTTAGAATTTGGTCGTAATGTCATACGCCAAACTGGTGTATGAGGAGTTTACTTATTCTGAATTTGACAAATAGTAAAAAACGCTATATTATAACTGCAATTTTTTTCTAAATATCCTCCCGCTTACCTTCAAAGTTATCTCATTGACAAAACGCTATTTCCAAACGCGAAAAAACTTTCCGGATGTTCTTTTTTTTTTCAAATATTTATTTTTACACTAACCTCACCACACTTCACTATTATTATTGAGTTCACAATTTGATTCGACGATGTGTTAAATTTTCAGTTTGCAAAACAATTTTTTTTTTTTCACCCGCGCATTTTCCGATTTACGATCGTTCACTCACTACCGACTCGCGAAGCGTCGTGAACACGGACGTCCGACGACACCGACACCTTTCGGCGAACTAATGTACTACCAGCATCGCCAGGGTTGAGATTCGTATGTGTGCGTTATACCCGTAGTACGTGAAGGGTGTACGAATAAGAAATATTAGTGTGTGCGTTTCTAGACGACTGGAAGCTATTTATGTGTGCGCGTCTGCCGTCAGCCAGTGTAGATGTGTACAACCAACGTTTCGTTGTATGTGTGTCCACAACCGGGTAAAAACGGTCCGTGGAAACAGGCGCATGCTCAATGAGCTTTCGGAGAATGTAATTGTGACGGCTCAACTTTAGACGTTGCCTCGTATTTTGACACGAAATTTTAAAATGAAGTGAGGCCCCATTACAATGTTGTCTTTGACTACATACAGTAAGTGCTTTACTTGCTGTGCTGTGCTGTGATGTTGGTTCATTTCCTGGTTGGGGTTAGCTACCGCGTCCGTGGCCTAAAAGTTAAAATTGAATTTTATCCGTTTCCATTAGTGCGACAAACTGGGATGGACATTATTTATCAAATAACTACGAACTGATCACATTCTGACAACGTTAATTTTGTCATCAATCTTGAAACGTGAGGTTCATGTCTCAATAGTACAGTTATCGGTCACACCAGCTGCTTTATTATAGAAGTACCTATTTCAATGCCCTCGTAAGCAGACGAGCGCACGGCCCACCTAATGGTGAGTGGTTACCGTCGCCCACGGACTTCAGCAATGCCAGGAGCAGAGTCAAGCCGCTGCCTACCGTTAAGGACTCTCTACAAGCCTCGTTTGAAGAAAGACATGTCATAGCGTTCGGGAAACACCGTGGAAGGGAGCTCGTTCTAAAGCCGGATGGTACGTGGCAAAAAATATCTCTTGAAACGCATTGTGGATGACCGCAGTAGCTCCGGGAAGTATGGATGAATTTTACTCCGGTGGCGGGCGGTGCGATGGTAAAAACGAATCATCTCAAAAATTCCTCAGACACTCACCTTTTGCCACACACCTTTTTGCCCTTATCCCACTACGTAGGATCCGATTCTTTCATTTAGACTATCATCATCTTTACACTCACACCCTCATGTATATCCTCTTTTGCACAGTCCATCCAAGTATTTTAGGACGTCCTCTCCCCCTGCTCTAGAAATATCTAGCAGTACTAAGGCCACGAAGGCTATTACTCACGGAGCAGAAATAATTCAGAACAAAGAAAGTAGTTCCTATTCTCATAGGATACAGTTGATACAAATGAGTCTAAAGGATTTAGTAGCGTTTTAAATAATGCAATAAACTGTAATCAGTATAGGAACTTTTAACCTTGTTATAATACACCAAATACTAAACTCTTTGGGAGCGGAATGTATGGATGACAGTTATGGAGCATGACTGAGAGAGAGAGATAGGAGATTTCGTGTAAGAAGATAAGAGAAATAGCGAATAAATGTCTGACAATTAGTTTTCTTTATTAAGCATGAGGACGAATGAGAGTAGTTATCTAATGCAATGATGGACAGATGTAATGTAACTCAGTAGACGAAAGACGTGTTTATTTTATTAAATTTGCTATAATAAATACGAATTTAAAATCAAATTTGTGTGAAGTAATCAACCGTTTTATTGGCCCAAATGGAATTGAGGATATATCTATCTCGTTGCTTTTATTTACAACTAGCGACCCGCCCTCGCTTCGCTTCGGAAACATTAAAACACACATGAAACAAAAAAAATAAAATAAAAAAAATTAAAAAAAAAGTAGCCTATGTTCATCAGGGACAATGTCGGCTTCTAATGAAATAAGAATTTTTCAAATCGGTCCAGTAGTTTCGGAGCCTATTCGAAACAAACAAACAAACAAATCTTTCCTCTTTATAATATTAGTATAGATTGAAAATGTTCTCTAAGTTTCAGCCCATGTTTCTAGCCTGTCAGTGGAGCAAATATATAGCTGGAAGCCACTCACATCGAGTACAGCGTGCATTGTATTTCCTTTCCACCTGAGAACTCTGAAATGAACCCCCTCGAAGTGTTTCCGGGTTTGCCTTGATAGTGTAAAATTACAAAATTTGAAGTGTTTTTTTTTTAGTAATGGCTTATACTTTTTCGTGTAGCTAAATTGAATTGTAACACAATAGAGGTATTTTAAAGCTGATAACATTCATTTGATGGCGGAAGAGAATAATGAGATAAATACATTCGTTTAAAATACTTGCCCAAATCTATCGATATTTAATGGAATACTAGTTTGACTAAAATCAATCGCACTCCCCATGGAACATACGGTACAAAATACACAGGGAACCGAAGTCCCTCCGCAGACCCAAAGGTTCCAAACGATTCATGTAGCAGTTTGCATGTATTATTGTCAGCTAATTTGAACCTCAAAAAAAATATTCTATTTTAGGTTTCATATTTATTGGAGAGCCAAATTTAATTCCTTGTAAAACGTCCAAAATTCTCTCGGAACCATCAAGCTGGTTTTTGTTAGCAATTTTGAGAAGTCTGATAAAGGTGAATCTAAAAGAACAAAAAGATTTGTTTTTTTTTATTGCTTAGGTGGCTGAACGAGCTCGCAGCCCAACTGGTGTTAAGTGATTACTGGAGCCCATAGACATCTAGAACGTAAATGCGCCACCCAACTTTTTTAGGCAGCGGCTTGGCTCTGCCTCTGAAGTCCATGGGCGACGGTAACCACTCACCATCAGGTGGGCCGTATGCTCGTCTGCCTACAAGGGCAATAAAAAAAAAAGATGCGTTCTAAGGTCTCAGTATAGTTACAACGGCTGCCCCATCCTTCAGACCGAAACGCATTACTGCTTCACGACAGAATGGGCGGGGTGGTGGTACCTACCCGTACGGACTCACAAGAGGTCCTACCACCAGTACAAAAACTTTCATGGCTATAAAGCATTATTGAAAACTGTACATGAAACTCGCAGAAAATCTGCTGTAACGGGTGTATAAAGCGTTACAGAAGCTGCTGTCTACGTTCATACTCAATCTATTAATGTCCAAATCTGGATCTCTTTAGAATTACAATTGACCCTAGATTCAAGTCAGAAAAACCACTTATTTCGTACGTGTAGTTTGAAAGGAATTTAAAAGCCCAATAAAAAGACGAAGATTCGAAGATGGCATTAAGCCGAATATTCGTTTTCGTGCAATATGCGTTCATCCCGATCGTTGCCAAACCTCAAGCGGTGTTGAAAGACAAAACCCCTTAAAAGTTTTGAGTGCGCATGATGACTCGATTGACAAGAGACAAGCGTTTTATCTTATTGTTTTGAATACGTACGCAACAAATGTTCACTATTGACTTCCACGGTGAAGGAATAACACCGTGTAATAAAAATCAAACCATCACCCTGCCTATTTCTGCCGTGAAGCAGTAATGCGTTTCGGTTTGAAGGGTGGGGCAGCCGTTGTAACTATACTTGAGACCTTAGAACTTGTATCTTAAGGTGGGTGGCGCATTTACGTTGTGGATGTCTATGGGCTCCAGTAACCACTTAACACCAGGTGGGCTGTGAGCTCGTCTACCCATCTAAGCAATAAAAAAAAAGTCGGGTAAATTAGAATCAGCATGTCAGAAATCACATAATTCACTTATACCAATAATATTAAAACATGCTAAACACAATCTTTAGGCCTCTTCAGAAGACGTCGCTACCAATTTGATATACAGATCGGCGCACATTTTTAATTAATAAACGATAGTTAATTTTTTAACTTATAATCTACTTTGTTATTTTTATAAAAGTTAGTAAATTTTCCTATAAAGGGGATTGCCCACTCTCCATAGTGTGCTAGGCCCAAGATGGACATCAAATACTACTATAAAAATGTACTGATTCAAATTCTTAAATGTATTGGATATCTAAAAAATATATTGAAATTGACGCCACTATTATAAAAAATATAATAAAAATAAAAACTCGTTTTGAGGTTAATTTTCTATATAAATAAGTGTCGGATTGTGAGATACTTCAAGAACTTTTCTTTTCTTAATGTTTAAGATGTTCCTAATGTATTTTTATCCAATAGGGTATAAAAACACACTTAATTCTTTAAATATCTATATTTTCTTCATCTTCATACACAATTAGTATCATCTAAAAATAGCAAAGGAGAGCATATACACGGTTTTAAATCTCGGTCAGGGTAAAACCACAATTCACACAATGTTTTTTAGTCGTAGTATGAAACGTTATTGATAAAAGTAAAATAAATCGAAGAAAAATCAAAACACATCCATTTTGTACGCAAGCACAACACCACAAGCAGCAAGCGAAGTATCAGTCAGTCAGATTAAATTCAGTGTTGTCAGTATAAAGAAAAATAATTACATGAAATTCATATATCGATTATTTTTTTAAATAACCGATAATTGATTTATATCTTAATCTTTTTTTTACGAGTACACATTATTTTTTATGTTTTTGTTTTAGTTGTACATATTTAAATAACAATACTAGTAAAGTTTTTTTTATTGCTTAGATGGGTGGACGAGCTCACAGCCATCCTGGTGTTGCTAAGTGGTTACTCGAGCCCACATACATCTACAACGTAAATGCGCCACCCACCTTGAGATATAAGTTCTAAGGTCTCAAGTATAGTTACAAGTTAAAGTCCAATGGGTATGTCTTCGATGTTATTTTATGTGCATAAAATCCATTAAAATCGATTGATTAATGATAATACTTAAAATGATTTATTTATATGTTTTATTTATATACTCAAAATATTTACTTCATACGTAAAAGGTTTTGAAGCTGGCAATATTTTTCCCGCAAAAATAAAAGTCCTTGCTTTTTCAATAGAGTTACTTTTTTTAAGCTACTTATTGTAAACTGTAGTGGCGCTTATTTGCAAGAAAGTAAATGCATATTTATTTATGACAAAATTAATGCACTAAGTATTTTTTCTATAATCTATTGTCCGCTTTGGGCCTAAAATAGGCCATCCCCTTTGATAGCGTTTAATCGTTTGGTATTTAACTAAATTAGAATTTTAATTAAGGGCGTTT